AGCCGGTTTTTGTGTAGGAAATTGTTCTTCCGCCCCCCGTGCTTCTTTCCCCTAACAATAAGGCCAGGCTGAGTACCTCAGTCCCTGCTGCGCAGTCGTTTCCAGTATCTTCCAGCACTGGGTTTTTTTTTTCAAAAAATAATCATGATGAAATAGGTAGCATACGCCTGGGTGAGCAGATGATGATTAGTCACGTCATATCTTTTCGCCTGCACCCTCTCACTGAACAGCGTAACATATCTTAATATGGCTAATTCTATATTAGGGACAGGTCATCCCCTCACAACCGTGACGTGGCTCAGTCACGTCGGAATATGAGCCAGCTATGCCTAGCTAAAGGGTGGTATAAGAAAAAGAGCGAAGAAAGGGCGTGGAAATGAAAACATTACCACTGGCTTAACAAGAGTCCCTACGACTTTACAAAATAAATCGGCACCTTGACACAATTTTTAACAATCTCTCTCACCAGCGGGCTAGCGCAATCTTTTCATTTTTCATCTCGCATTTATTTATACTAGTTCTATTTTAGCCACCACTATGCGCCAGCTTGATTGAAACTATTAAAGGAGCTTCAACAGTGGAACGCTTCATCGAGGAGTTAAATCGAGCCAGAGATCTTCAAGCTGTTTTAGGAAAGGTGCTGGATAAGCTCGTTTTAGATCTTCGATTCATTGACTATAATTTAATGTGGGGGACATAAGTGAAGGTTTCACATAACGGAAATACATTCATGTTGCTTTCAAACGCCGTGTGTGCGTATACAATTGTAAAACGAATATCGATTGCGCGCGATTAGTCAACACATATTGAAGTTTGCACGCTAATGGGACGGACTAAAGTGCGGAAAGTCTGTTTGGTTCCGCAGTTTGAATTAGGGATTATTCGCTTTTTGGAGTGGGGGAGGGGATGGGGTGGCTCGACCGAGAGCTAGCAGTGATATGCTCGTTTTCATCTTCTCTTATTGGTAATCGGTTGAACATTTTCAAAGATTTGCTAATCATAATGATGATTATTCATGAAAATTGTTCGACAGCGTTTTCTGGGTAGTTCACTTACCCGATAACCGTGAGAGCAGGGTCGGGATCAGCAGATCAAGTGTAATGTCTCAGCAACCTTTTTGGGCCCGCACTCATACTTTGCACTAGTGAACAGTTGAGGAATTGAAGAAATGAAGGGCGCTGTTCGGCGACAGAGGAATTCAGCACTTTTGCTGTTTCACTAGTTCCGGTTTACAAGCCTCATTTGCTTCTTTAGTTCCTGTTCACAAGCTTCATTCTGGTGAAACCTGTGGACTCTTGCGAAGCTGGGGCAAGCTCGTCGAGCCACCCTGCTAAAACCTGTTATTTCTTGTTTGGGTCGAAACGTCGATAGGAAGTAGCAAAAGTGCAAAATCCCCCCCCCCTCCATCCCCCGGCTCCGAACTGCTTTGAAATGAAGAACTGCAGAATTTTTGAAAAGGATAAGACGTCTATCGATCTGTTTCTGCAGTTCTGCAATTGTTCCTTTTTTTCAAGTCTCCATTCTTCATTGTTGAAAGGTATGAACGCGGTCAAATGTGGCGAAAAACAGCGATTAAAGAGATACATGTTCAAGATTGTTTGATGAATTCTTAGTGACCGAGGATTAGGAGGGGTAGTTTGGTTTCCGCCTAGCATATGTCCTTGAAAAGTGAACATTTCATGGTTCAGTTCTGTGTTCATTAGTAAGTGAAAGATAGAGGAAGCATTTGAAGATCTCCCTTTCCTGCAATGTTTTGAGTCTTACTTTGCTACGTACTGCGACAAGTATGCTGTGGCGATGTAGCGTCAAGTGGCACTCTTACCATGATCAAATCGCGGATCGGTTTCCGCTCGAAACGATCAGGCCTTCTATCGTTCGATGACAGTGAATTGTTCGATTGATTCGTCTGTGAGGATACAAACACCACTTGTGCATCGGCTGGCCCCCAAGTCGTTGTACAGGCGACATCACAATAAGTCACTGTAATTCACATTGGAAGTATGATGCGTGGCGCATCCCAAAGACTGATCAACGGTGATGTTTTATCCTTCGTCCTGTTTACTGAGGGAATGTTTCGTAGCGTATTACTAGAAGATGGGAGAGGGAAGTCGAGTTACACAAATACTTCAAGTGTTTGCGGAAGGGTCAGTAAAGTCGTGTTCCGGATCACGCACACCACATCACACCACATCTATACTGTCCTCTGAGATGTAAATAACTTGTTGTTGAAAAGATTTCGATTTAGACCGAGCTATCAAGATGGGCAGATGTGTTAAATCGATGCGATGAGATCTTAGAAGATGCGACTGTCATCCAAGATCATGAAATGAAGGTAACCCAGCGGTTTTAAGCATTAACTACTTTCGTCGCGAAACTATTATTATAGGTCGATCGATGCGCGATCACAAAGTACCGTACAATTTCGATTCTTCGTTTCACGGGCCTTCTGTTTGACTGCACATCAACAAGAAGAATATATGCGAGCACAGATGTTTGTCTTGGATACTTATGCATTAACATCTTCCCTGTGAATGATTTTGTAATTTTTAGCGAATCATTCGATTGACAGAATGTACTGATATGGATCTCGTCGGTGAAGTGTTGAGACTACTGCAGACCATCAGCAAACGATCCAAATTCCTCACACAAAGGCTGTGTCCAGAAGATCAAGCCTCTCTCGTAATGAGTCTCACAGCAATGGCACAAGTAGGATTATTACTTCAATCATTTATTTTTTATTAGTGTTACCACTGCAGGTGTACCACAGGTCCGTTGCTTGAGAAGAGTTAGGACATGCCGCGCTATACCATCTGTGAATAAGCTGGCGTGTCAAATAACGTTAGCGATGGGAAGCATCATATTTTACATTTTGAGCGACTAAGAGAGTATAGTTATCAATCTAGTGTTTTGAACGTTTCGCGTATAGTTTGGAACTTTTCGCGAGCTGTCGCTTAAAACGCTGCCACTGCCGTATGCTGGCATATGCTGGATCGATACCCATACTTTCCTAGCCGCTCGGAACGCTCAGGACGTGACACGAAGTATGAACGCAGCATTAGTGATGGGAAGACCTAGGAAGCATTCCTGGACAGGCGGCGGGGAAGGGGAGGGGGCTTTTTAGACTTCCTTGCTTCACTGGTCCCGGTTTTACCAGTCTCACTCTGGTGAAACTCGTGAACTCTCGTGAAGCTGGAACAAGCTCATCGAGCTGCCATGGTAAAACATGTCAACACAAGAAAAGGCTTCCTAGATGGTTGACGTGTCGATGGGAAGTAGCAAATGTGCAAAATGCCCCCACTCCCGTCGCCAAACTGCCCCAGGAATGACGACTCTGTAGAAAACACGAGATATGCGTATCGTTTTGAATAATGACGACTCCAGCGGAACCCAAGACAATACGAATGGCTGGCTACACGACCACTTCCTGTTTGATCTTTGCCGGCTAATTTGAGCATTTCTGCCAATTCTTAGTTTTTCCTCGAATCCGCCGAGTCGTCATGTCTTTGTAGTCGTTATAAACACCGCCTTAATAGCTCAAGTAATGGACGTCATCTTGCGCTACGTCGGCGCCTTGTTAGCTATCACAGTCATTTTTATTTCAGTGCTGGGGAGGCAAACTGCGAAATTTGAAGATGGAGGATTGCGTTCATGAAGACGTAAAACTACCGCCGCTGTTTCCATTTACTTTCACTGACAGTAAAGCGAAACATACTATGATCTTCGAGCGCCACATGGTGCGTTTTTCCTTCATTGCCGTTAATATTATTTAGAGAGTGTTCTAGATTCTTTTCAAAATGCTCTTTTCAGGTGGATCAGCCTCTGCTGAAAGTAGTAGATGAATTTGCCAAAGGAATGACACCTGAAGACAGATATAGTTTGCTGGCTAGAATACGAATGCTGCGCCATTTTGAATATCGCGAGCACAGGATGCAGTGCTTAATTGTGCGACTCCTGTCTATATCAACTCTAAGTGAGCTTTTTTCACAAATTATATATAAATTTATACAGAATCAATATATAATTTGCAGTTTATTGCCGTTGCCAGCCAGATGACGTTCAAATAAGTGCTTTATTGTATAGTGGATTTATTGAAGAAGCCGTCGCCTTGTTAAAAGTTGATTTGAATTCCCATGAACTTATGGATCCGATACAGACGGAAGCGTTGCGAATGCTCTGCAGCGTTGTTTCCTTGGAGAAAGCCAGCAGGTTCGTTATTGTTTTTCATTTAATGCCCTTGAGGACTGAGCCTTTCAGCAGTCCAGTATAAGGGCACTGGTCTAATAATCTAATATAGATCCGATCCCCAATATCTCGGACAATTGAGCGGCTGAAAACGGGTGTGCGTCTGAGAAAGCATTTGTAGAGGTACTGCTAAAGGCGCGCTACAGGGGCGGCCTTCATGTTGATGAGGCCGTAGTATCAAAGGGGGACTGCTAGCCGTCCAAGGATGGTTATCAACCGCGGAGGCTCCCTCCTCTTTCCTTTTTCTTTCTCCTTTATTCTTTTCCTTCCTTCCTTCCCTTTTCCTTCCTCCTTTGCCTTCTCCCTCAACTGCTGAGCCAGTAGATGCCATGGACAAAAAGTTCTGATCGCTCGCAGGGAATCTTCAGATACAAGAGCCCAGTGGCCGACTGCTAACCGCAGCCCTTCACTTTCATGCCCACATGCCCCAATCTCAAGCCCGCGCATTGCTGTTCAGGCGCCTTCCTTGGACACGCTAGTCCGATTTTTTCTTTTCTCCTCCATTTTTGTGTTATTACCACTCACTCATTACCACATTTACACTCTGTCATTAGTATTTGTGACGCATAACACATCATTTATGAACCCGGGGCGAAGCTCCAATTTCAAATTTTGGAAACTTTCCCACAAATTGTTCTTATTTAGGACATCACAGATTCTGGACGTACTGAGTGCAGGATCATATCATGGTTTCCTTGCTGTGTTTACAAGAAATATAGTAGAAGATATGAAGCGCAATGCGTTAAATACGCCCGGGAAGCCGAGTGTTGCGTTGAGTACAGCATTACTGTCGTTCATTTACCATCTCAGCAACAATGATCCTGGTGGTTCGTTTGTTACTTTAGTATTTTTCTTTTGTCCATTTTAATAAGTCTATTGACTTTTTTCGCAAAATGCTGACTCCGTTCAAGAAATTGGCTGCTTGCGGCCTCAACGCAGACGCTTGGCTGAGGCGTGATTTCCATTCATGTCTTCCACTCGATCAGGCAACGTTGGCTACACGTTGTACTCGTATAACTGACAACTTCACTACGATCGATGTCACAGGCTTCAACAATTGCAAAGGAATGGACATCTGCATCGACCGTCTGATTGTCAGTTTTTGAAATGCACTTTTTGATTTCTTGTTTTTCTTTTCCATGTTCTTCGTTATTGGTTTGTATTTATATTTCATTTCAAATGTTTTTTTTTCAGTACGAGGTAGATGAGTGCAGAAAGGAGCAGCCATTTGTCATTGATACCAGTGGAGATGTTGATGATGACAGTGTTGGAAGCGTTTTCGTACGCGCACCTGTAATTGGAAAAACATGCCATCCACAGCGATCTGGACTGATTAAGGCCCTTATCACATTCATCAAGAGAGCTATCCAGGATACTCAGTTCCAAGATAGCGTTCGACATAGTGAGTTATAATGCTGATATTATTTTTTTTTTCAAAACAAAAAAACAGCCAGGCCGTGAAGCTACTTTCATACTTGTTGTACATGGTAAGTCCGGTATTCTGTATCACTGGCGTTAAAGGAAAATGTATTTATCAGGCCGAAAATTCGCGATTCGGGGAACGCGCGAGGCTTGACTGAGGCACCGGGCACGTCCTGCCGTTTAGGGAAATTTTTTAGACACCACCTATTACTCCTCCGACCCTCCCTCCTCCCCGTCATAATTTCATTTTTCAGTACTATCCGATCCCCATCACGCCTGCCATCACCCTAACTTTCTGCCACTTTTCCGAAAAATTTCTCCAGTTTTCAGAGGATTTTCTGGAAAAAATACCACCTTGAGTACGGGTAGGTGAGGTTGGCATAATGCCAAAGAAGCAGGAAAAATCACGAAAAGTCAATATTCGAAAATATCGAAAACATTTTGCTCGAAACTTGATACGATCCTCTTTTCCCACCTCTCCCTCCGCCCTTCGAATATGAGCCTCTTGGGTTCCTAAACGTAAGAGGAACATTGTTTGAACATCAGTCGATACTTATCTCAAGGTTCCCTGATTATCCAGAATCGCCATACCAAAAGGCAGGATTTCTCTTGTCCCTAATTCTCTTGAAATGTCGGTTCTCTCAAATGGAGAATTCTTCACCTTTGCAACGTAAGCGGGGTTCCACGCAAATCTGTGGACATTAGGTTTCTCCATACTGCTTCTATCCATTCTAATTCGAAATATTCCAGTTATGGAAGGACAATTGCCTGATGCGTTGATGCACATAATCAGCAATTCGGAGTACTACTCGGCATCT